CAAAGGAATTGCAGCGCAGAATTATCGATCAGTCCATGTTTGAAAAGATCATAAAGATTATCTCGACCTGCTGGCAGGTGTCTGGTGCGTATGGACGCTTCACTCCCCAGCCCTCAGTCCCAACCATCACTCACACTCAAAAAATTTCCAAACTTCTCCTCTCCACAATGACAGCCTGCCTTTTTTGAGAGTGACTTTAAAAATGAGGATGAACCCTGAGCTCGGCTAGTCAAATCAATCTAGTCACGGTGGAGGAGCGGAGCGGTTCATTACTGGGAGGGCCGAGGAGCTCTCCGATCAGCCCTCTAATATCGCTGTGATCCTCTTCCCTCTTCTTACCTAATTGAATTCTCCAGGAGACATGCCCCTCAGCTGCAGATTTATCATATCCTGAAATTGGAGGAACTAGCTCCATGAAGGACGTGAGCGGAACATTTAATCCACTCCCTGTGCTGTAAATCGAGCTCCGCGGTCCCTGCCAGGACTTGACTTATCCCACAGTGGACCACTGGCCTTTGGAGAGAGGTGTCTTTATTCGGCGTTGCCCGGGACGAACAAGAGCCGCGGCAGGAGGCGCACGCATCCCGTATCAAATATGCTGCCTGTCATGTACAGTATGACCACCGTTCGCAACAGATGGCATTGTAATCTGTAATCAAAGCCTCTCACATGCAGCTCAGTTGCACAATATGTCTCTCTCTACTTCCAATCTCTCTTTCACTGTGAGACATTCAGCGTCTTTTTTTACTTCCCTTCCCTCTCTGCATTGTAGCACTGGAAGGTTTTGACGCGAAAGATAAGATAACCAGGAGGATTGTTTTTGAAAGCCACTTCATCAGGAAGGTAGTCGGACGTGGGACGCGGTGTCTTGTTGACATGAAGATGGAGTGCCGATAAGTAGGTGAATCATAAAGAGGAGGCAGTTGTGGAGGACAGTTGCACACAATAGAAATCAGCAGGGGGTTATTTAAGTTGTCAGATCCCATGACTCACACCATGAGCAACTGTCTCTCATTATTATCATTATTATTATTTTAATCCACGGCAGGAAGATCATGTGATCGATTGCGTGTGTGGACGCTTCGTGAGTGAGTGAGTGCGCACCTCTGTGTCTGTCTCTGCTGCGGTGAACTGCATAATATTTTGGGTTGCCAGTTATGAATGCATGCTTAAGGACCTCTCTTGGTTGCGGTGACTCGCACTTTCTCAAAACGCCTTTAATAGCCTGTTATATACTGCTACTGCTATACACTCGCTACTCTTGACCGGCCCCTGGCCGGTAGGGGCCACTAGTTTTAAATTGGTGGCATACAGATCCCGTCCTGGCTTTTCTTCTGTCCCATTCTGTTATTTTACCTGCTCTATTGTATCCCATTGTATCGTTTTGTATCCTATATCATATCCTATCCTGTATGATTCAATTATATATAATTTACTTTCCTATTATATCCAAAGCCTATTTTTTTCCTCATCTATCCTATCCAGTCCTTGGCCCTTGCATATATCCTATCCTGTCCTATCCCATCCTAAGAAAGTATCCCATATAGCCGATTCTATCTTTTATTCTAAATCTCTCCTATCCATCCTATGTCCTGTCCTCTCCTGTATTTAATGCTATATAGTATCCTCTCCTGCCCTATCCTGTAGCTTATTCTATGCTATATTCTATACTATCGTATCCTATCGTATTTTCTGATATCCTACTCCATCCAATTCTATATGCCATCCTATGGCGTTCTGTCTTATCTCTCATCCTATCCTGTCCTGCACCATCATATCACATCATATCCCATCTCAGGGGTTTGCAACTTTAAACCCGCATGCCAAGCTATATGGTAGTTTAACCAATGTCACACTAGCAATAAGTGCGCGAGGGAGTTTTCTTGAATTGTTGATGTGCCATCTCATCGGCATGCCAAATTACCTTTTTCACAACTATTGGTAGTTGTGCGTGGTGTGATTTGGCAAAGACACGCCCCTCTCTGCCTCTGATTGGCTAGGACTCGTTCTTTCTTGGCAGAATTTGTGAAATGTATTGCTGATGAACAAGATGGGTGGAAGGTTGGTAGGGTTAATGACTTCAACTCAGATGTGTATGTGTTTATAAGGATGGCAGCCATCTTGTATTGTGCTTTTATGTATCCTGATTATGATACAAAATGTTTTAAATATTCATTTATTTTTAATGTTTCTATGCCCGTTGTCTATATTGATGGAATAGAATTACAGATCTGGTGGATTTTAACTTTTGATGTGGTGTCATAATTCAACTTAATGTTGATAGAGCACATTGATTAACAAGAAAATGTAAAAATGGCACTTCATATCAAAAATCTTATCTGGTCTTGTCCTGTTCTGCATCCCCTCACTGTACAATGCCAGTATTACCAGAAATAATAACATATATATATACACACACATATATATGTGTGTATATATATAGTCTGACTTTTTGAGATGGTGTGCCAAGAATTGCCAAGTTTGCAGAAGATCTGACTGATTTCAATAATTATGCATCCAGATGGGATGTGGTTAAAGTAAACTCCATTTCTCCGTGCTCCCACATTTGCATGCAGTATATGGCCTATCTGGCAGAGATCCAGAGCTGTAGGATCACTTATTTGATTATACATTATCATGCTCAGCAGGACAGTGGAGCTCTAACAACAGTTGAGGTAAAACTGCTGTCGGCAGCAGAAAGCCTTTTGAATCATGCTAAGGATTGTGTGGGAGGATCTTCCTCATATAGGTTCTCATGGTCAACCTGAAACTTATACCTGTGATTAGAATCATCGGGATTTTTTAAATGTTTAAATTTGTTTCCTGTCTTACCTTACATTTTATATTTTCTCAGCGTTTTGTTCATTCAGGAATGGTTGCACTCTTTCAAGCTTCCCTTTGTTTCATCTGTAATTGTCCTTTGAACACATTGGTAACTGATAGTCCCTGAAATCGTTCAGTATTTTGACTCAAATCCACGAAAATCGCTAGAATGTCTTGGAATTTCACCAATCGATTCCAAAATTAGATATCCATTCATTTAAAACTGAATGAAGTGCTTAAAAGCAGAAATTGTACATTCACTCATATACTTTTTTATGAGAAATGGTTGTTAACTTAAAGCTGCACCTATCAGTGTTTTACTAATTGCAGAATAAGAATATAACAATATATTGAATGCTGAGTTTAAAGCTGTTTCTGTCGCCCCAAGTGGCCCAAAAATCAATCATTGCTGCTCGGTTGCCATTAATTCCAAAGCAGGCTGATTCGTCTAAATGCTTTTTTTTCTAAATGGCCTGATTCGGAGCATTTATTGGTAAAATGATAATTGTGGGTTGACAGTGTTGACGTACTGTGCTTGTTGCGCGGCACAGATGGAGGTACGAAGCCTTGAAAGTGACATCCGTTGATGTGCAGATCCATCGCCTTCGGAGCCGCTGCTGAGTAACTCCAGAATCCCGAGCGGATCATAGCCTGATGACACTTGGCAAAATGGCACACTAATTATAGTCATTTTCATTTCGGGCAGAAAGGCTTGAGCTTAGTCATGTGTGAAGTGTTGATACCTTTCAGAGCACGGACCAATGCTCCCGCGACGTTTAGCCCTGCCAAATCTCTGCTGCGGATTGGCTCAGCCTGTAGCGAACAGTGACACTCAGAGGCTTAGGTAGTTTCCCACCTGGGGCCGGATCGGCAAACCGGTGACACAGAACAGTCTGGGGGCAGCCGTGGGACGGTTAAAAAAAAAAAAAAAAAAAAACCCAATCTGAGCTGATGGCTCTGGCACGGCTTCAGAACAGCACGGCTCTCCCGCATGCAGGAAGTGAACAGAATGGTAAACTGACTGAAAGTAGTTTTTACTCTGTAAAGAGTTGCACATAGAGTAATTTAATCACCAGAGACTTTAATATAAATTATTAAGTATCTGGGTTTCATAGCTTATTATTTTCAATCACACTACACAGCCATAGTGCTATAGTACTGTTTAAAATATGCAAAGCCTTCTTAACAAAATTAGTGGTCGAACACTTGGAGACTTTATGTGTGCGTGTGTCTTGTTTCTAAACAACTTGAGCTAATAACCAGTTACAAGATTATTACTAGAATATTATTATTAGAATCAGGAATAGAATATGGTTATCTTTTATACCGATTTTAGATGTCAAAAAAATAAGGACGAGAGTAAGGGTACATTCAAATGTTGCAATTACCTCAAAACCGAAAGCAACTCCTTCGCAGCATGCATTCGTAGCGACACTCTTTCTTCGGGGACAAGATGGAAAAATCGCAACTTTTTTAAATGCAGAAAAGTGCACAGTCATGTGAGAAGAATTCAACCAATCCGCTCCACCGTCCAAGGACGTCACAGTATCCGGTTCATATTCAGCCAAACTGAAGAGGACGAATTCTGAAGTCAAGCTACTGTGAGCCATTTAAAAAAAAAAAAAGCCATTTATCTTTGTGTTGACTCTGTTCGGTTCAGTCAGCGAGGCTCACTGCTAAAGTACCGCAACTTCATCACAATCGCAGCATCCGGGTTTTGGTTGCTCAGCAACGGCCCAACCTCCTAAGCACCTTGAATAGAAGCGTGTGATTGTTATTGACAGGTGGACACTTCAGGGTTCTAAAAGCGATAGAGGATGTGTAGGTGAGCGTCATCGGATATACTATGATCAGTGCAGTAACTACCCACACAGTCTTTGGAGTGCTATTAAAAATGGCTGCAGACTGTTTTAGCCCAAATAATGTCCAGGTCCACTGAGACCAGTACTTAGTAGAAGCAACTATTTGGTTGATCGGACCATATTTCGGGCTGTGCCTCCCACTTGAGGATCGGTCCCTGGGAAACCTCTGATAACTAAAGCAATCAATTGAAATTTCATTCCTGCTATTTTTTCCCTTTTGCTTTGTCCTGAACCGTACTCTCTCTCTCTCTCTCTCTCTCTCTCTCTCTCTCTCTCTCTCTCTCTCTCTCTCTCTCTCCCTGCATTTATCTGTCCCCATGGATTTTTAGATGCCTTTGCTGGAAAAAAAATTGGGCTCTATCCTCAGTGCTGAATCCATCTAGGAGAATCGTTTTTAATAAAGCTGTAATTTGGTCAATTCTGCCTGTCACTTGAATATCGATATCATATTCTCCAGCTCGCAGTCTCTGCTGTTCATGTAATTGAGACAAATTGTCACAATTTGCCCGGTTTTCATATTTTTCCAGTAAAAGCGCGGCTTGGAGAAGCAGTGCCCCCCCATATGTCTCCATGATGTTTCTATCTGCCAATACGAACACAGAATCACTTTTTAAGAAATAATTCCAAACATTATTTATCAAAGGAGGACCAACTGGACGTGCACGCTCATGCTCATGTCTTGTGACCAACACAGGGATGAAATAAGACAGGGAAGCGAAGATACCGTTTACTTTTTCCACTTCATCCTTCATGTGCACAGCACCTGCTGTTTGAGTGCTCTTGCACGGCAGTACAGCTTTTCGGTGTGTCGCTGTACGAGCATGAAGCAGAAAAGTGAAAAAAATAAAAGTACACCTTACGCTCCCAGTTGGCTTTGTATATTAATACTGCTGGATAGTGTTTTATAAATCAGATTCTGACCAACAGATGGAAGGCGGGTATCATTTCATAGGCCCATACATTTAGGAAGGAAGCCTGTGCATCTGTCGGCCGTTGCCTGTGATTGCATTTGCATAGAGGTAACAGGAGTGGCTTTGTCTTCGTGAGAAACCGCATCGATTGTAATACTTGTTCTCTTTGAAACAAGCTTTGAATGCCAAATGTCCCTGAGGATTATTCTTGGGGATGATCTGTTCCACTCTACCAGTTGCGGCAAATGTTTAAGGAAATAGCTTCCTTTCCTCTGTGTTTCATCATTGCTTTTTCCACTGTGTCCTTTTAATGCGACACCATTTTTACAATGCAGCTTGCAAACACTTATGAGTGGAGCAAAGAAAACACACACAAAAAAAACAAACAGGTTATCTGATTGATGTGAGGCATGTGCTTTAATCTAGATGAGTGCTACTTCACCCCGCGCATCCCCACTCCGAAGTGTTTGGGCTGTAGAAGACTGCCGCTCTGAAAACAGAGAGGGAGGCAGAATGTAGATCAATATCCCAGAAACACACCAGAGACATTCTATTTTATTAAACATTTTCCCATTAAGGCAGCGGTGCGAGCATTGTAGATCATCGCAAGAAAGTCGTAAATCACAGACAGACAGCGGTATTGAGCGGAATCAGAGAAGATTACTGAGAAACAAAGATATTTTGTTTTTGCTCTACTGGGAGCCTTGTGTATCTTGTTCTTATATTACTGCATATTTCTGCTGAGGGATTGGTTCAGTTAAAATGTGGCATCCGAATCACATTTTGCTGATCACAACACAACACCACATCTCTAATCTTACTCAAGACAGACTGAAGTCACGTTGGTTTTAAATGTTCCCCTTTTAAAAACCATGCTCTATTGTTCGCATTTGGCGATTTGGAGTAAAGTTGGGAAATGCCTTGCTAAAGGTCTCCTAAAAAACAGAAGCTAAACAATGACAACACTACTATATGAACACACACATAGACCGTACTGAGCAAGAAAAGTTCTGCTATTTGCTCAAAAATCCTCCAGTATAATTCTTCATGTGGTCCCTCCATGCCCTTAAATTCCGAATAGCATAATACTGCTCAATAGTTTCATCACTAATAAACTTCCATACATCAACGGCACTCACTAAATGAAATCCAAAAGCTTCTCATTGGCTTTTATTCCAGAGCTCGATGCTTAAATTGGCATCCTTCTCTTCTTTCGAATTCTGCCATTGTACTGTTATTTATTTATATCTTTACCTATTAAGAATTTTTTTCTGTTGCTCATATTCACAGCGGCTCAGAACAAGATAGCAGGTAGGGGTTCAGTGCGTTGCCCAGGGCCGCTTCAACACAACAGATGGCTGTTGCTGGGATCGAATCTGTTACTGTTTGGTTCCAGGGTGTTCTCCTCAAGCGCTGAACCATCCTGCCACCCAGTTCAGATTGTACTTTGTTGGAGGCCATTTTCTAAAGCAGATGGAAGGTGGCTTTCATATAGGCTTGAATGCTAGAGATCAAGCTGGTAGATCTGCCTGTACAATTTGTTCTGATAGTATCCTCTTTTCCTGCCTACTAATCAAGTCCTGTCATGGCACATTTATGAAGAAAGTCCTTTAGGAAAACAGAATTGCTTTGAAATACTACGCAGAGAACAAATAATTAAAGACAGACAAGAGAGAAGAGGCAGTCATAAGAGAGACAGACTTTCATTCTAATCGTGTTGTCAAGAAAAAAACTCACATCCCCTTTTCTCCACTGCTCAAATCTTCTTTCATCAGTGTAATATTAATTTTGACAAACCAGCGATTTAAAATTACCCCACTGTGTCAATTATTGTAAGCGCGGTGATGAGAGTGTCTATTCGAACGCCCGAAATGCAAAATCTTTGCCTCTCCGTTATTTTTTCGAATTATGTTGACTGTCATTTTTTTGGTGCCATTTTTTATTCGTGGATCCTTCAAGGATGCGGGAATAACAGGACAGGGATTGAATGCCCCAGCAGAATCAAAGCAGCTTTGTTATTCATATCCATCTTTTCACAGCAGCCTAATCCACATGCATATTCAATGTGCCGTGGACAATCAGACTCTCTGCGCAGACAACATGCTTGGGTCCGCGGGGAGGTTGTTCCCCGCTTCCTCTGTGCTGTTTGTTGACGGCAGCTTGTTGGGAATGGGGATAGTGCTAAATTTGATCACAGAGCATAAAGCGGTGCGGCAAATGAAAACACTTTGTGCTCACATAAATTATACTTTTTTTTTTCCAATATCGCAATATTGCATCAGTATCTTACGAGGGCATACAATATTGTTGAAATTATGTCCCACTGATGCAAGCTGGTCATATTGCCTTGTGTATTTAATCACTGTGGATGCCAAATTCCTGTTGAAACGTTCCCAACGAGGACAGAAACATTATAAAGCTGTCAGCTATTACAGTGCATCAAGTTAGCCTGAACAAGTGTGGATAATAACAAGTGCTAATATCCGAGCAAGGTTTAGTGCACATAAGCTCTTTTATTATGATAGAAATCTACTCAGCTGTTTCCTATTTGGCTTTAATTTTTTGCCATGTGCAATCCTCCATAGCACTAGATTCAAAGAAACTTGACATGTTCAAGTGGTTTGAGCACGCTGTTGCTACTTCACCTGTCAACTACGGTATGTAAGTAAGAAAAGTACTGAAGGCGATATGAACTAAAAAAAGCCTTTTTAATTCTCTTAGATCATTTCCCCGGTCATATTGTGCGCCTGTGAAAGAATGCATAAAAATCAATTCCTTTGGATTTTGATGAGAAAAACCAATAATCTTCCTCCTGCAAAACAAAATATGACGTGTGCTAACCTAAGCTAGTACCAACTAATATATACCACTATGACATCATACCCTCAAACAATCGGCAACTTGGCGACAAGGGAGGTGCTGCATTATAAGCCCGCCTACTTTTTAGTGGTCCAATGAAATGCTGACCACTGATGACACTAAGTTATTTAGGAAATGGAAAGAAGCTGACTGGATGTTTCATTTCAGAAGCTTGCATCCAAGAGGGAGAGTGCCTTTTTCTAGATATTCAATAAACTTGTTTCGTAGTTTTTTTTCAAATAAGTTTTAACTCGGCTTTCAAATACTCTCCTTATTTCAGTGGCCTTCTCCTCTAGTGGTTTGTGTTGTAGCTTTTTCTGTTTATATGCCAAGATTTTATTGAGTGATTTTATTTTGACATTCCTGCCGGCCAAACTTGTGTCTAGTCCTCATTGGATAATTGACAAGGATTCAGCCATATTGTGGTGTCTGCATAAGCTGCATGTTTTCACATTCTCAGGCTCTTTGCCAAAATATCTTAGTTGAACGAGGTGCAGGCTCCTCCAGTCTTTTAATTTGACTTGAGCCTGACTCAATTTACATGCGTGACAAACTTTAACATTTTAGGGGTACGGTTGAGTTGCTCGAATTGATCCAAGATTGATTCACAATATAGACGTAAATAGTTTAAAGCCACTGATGTTTTAAACACGTGTCACTTCACCCACTCTTAAAGGCACAGGCAGTGAAAATTATCGACTGACTATTTACTACGGTAGACTTCTCTACGTAAGTGAGCAAGGCCTTGCAAAGGGAATCCGTCATGTCAGCTTGCAGGTCACATTAATGACTCGGCTCCCTGCCTTCAGGATCGGCTGCCCTCAGTTCAACACTAATGTCGACGTCGGCAACGTTGCTCTGTGGGCGTGAAGCAGGGGCAGCTGCCACACTTTCGCACGCAAACGTTCGTTTTGCTCTCACGTGGCTGTTAGCATCTATTGCCTTCGCAACGACGATAATGAGACAGTTTGAGTGAGCTTAAGTAACACTGGCAGCGTTAGTATTAGCACCAAATTATGGCTCCAAATCTTAAAATGTCATATATTTTCCAATACATTTAAAAACAAATATACACTCAGCCAAATATTCCATAAGTCAGATAGCGATTTGATTCATAAAAAGCTAATCTTGTCTTGCTTGTATTCATAAAAGCGATTCATCCATGTGTTTGTGTTAGTTTGCTGATCGTTAACTAGCTAGCTGTTGTTGTTAGCCGGTAAGTTCTTCTTCTTCTGGTGTAGAGCTTTATTGATTTTTATGTGAACAGATTGCAATCAGACCTGAAAGTACAGGTGTAAATGCACCCAAAACACACTTTGGACATGTTGTGATCACCTTGAACACGAATGAAAATGCATTTGTATTTTCAATCCACATGCAACAACTAAATACCTAACGCTAGAGCTGTCCAGAGGGCCATTTTTGGGCTCAATATAAACCCAATGTAAAAACGGTCTCAGTCACCGGTTCACCCGCACAAAACTGCATTTGTTTCCGCTGAGATTGGTTGTCGCTGACCATTTGGCAAATCCAAGCTCAATTTTCTGTGACTCAGCTCACATTACGGCCCCAACTGCTAGCTTTCTGGATATAATCATCATTTTAAGACTCATTTACTCGAATAAAAACCGTTCTGAAACAACATCACTCGTGTTCTCTTACTGCTAAATGCTCCCACTTGCCAGCCCTCCTAAAAAAAGAAAGAATTGGCAACCCAGTAGCCAACAATAAAGTCATGCACGGCCGGGTTCCACCAGTGCTTGTTATGTTTTGGCAGACCTGTATCCCTCCCCACCAAAGCAGGTGATGCAACCCGGGGGCAGGGCTCGAATTAACAGACTGCATCGTCATTGAACACCAGATGCACAAGAGCCAAAAGATGTGCTGCGGGAGCAAGTTTGCCAAAATCAATCGTGGGAATATTATTCTCCTGCTGTCGTCATGAAATACAAACTGCTGTCTGATTGCAGAACTGATACTGAACGGTGAAGTGTGAGTGCAATTTGAATGTTACGGCTTAGGCTGCAACATGTGTTTCTATTTGTATGCATGTAGATATTTACGTGTCTCTATATCTGCTGTCGTGCTGTCACGTAAAACTTAAATATGTTTAGCGCTGATGGTCATGTTTGTGGTATTAATTTGAAATCTGACATTTGGGATTAAGTCCCCTTCAGTGTTTTTAATGATATTTTCCTCTATCCAAAACAAAGCCATGCAGCCTTTGCCATGTCTCCTGCCACATCTCCTCATTTCTACCGGCTTAATTGAAACCGGTGTGCCCTGTGTGTGTGTGTGTGTTGCCCATTTAATTTCCAAAACCACAACAAACAAATAATTTACAAACGCTCTTTGTCCTGCAGCGAAATGTAAAGGCGCCGGGACGGAGTTATCCCTGGGGAGTGTGGTGATAGTGTTGGAAGAAGTCATCTGCAGTATTTATTTGGTCTGCCCCCCCCGCTCACACTACTTCCCCCTTCAGAACCTGCCTCTCGGCAATTACATCTATCAGAAGGCAGCAGAGAGCGCTCTGTCAGAACTGTTCCAATAATTGCAATTTAAATGGATATGGATTCAAAAAACAACTGGCAACACACAGCTAACTCGGGACTGACTTTGTCCCGTCACATCTCCCGGTTTGTTTTCCTTTCTCGGGTGGACCTCTCATTTACTGTGCTCTCTCTCTCGCTCTCTCTTGTTTGCAGACACATAGAGAACTGGACGGGACTGCAAACTCTGAGAGACGTCGACATGGAGCTCTACACTGGACTGCAGAGACTGTGAGTGTTGATGCCGATATCAGGAGGGGGAGGCCGTTGATGGAGACCCAGATGTGGAACCTGTACCGCTGTCGATCCGTGTTTCAGCTTGCCCGCCTGCTCACCGCAGAGCGGCCAATGTGTTGTTGTTTTTTTGCCCCACAGATGAGAGCCGTAATTCAGCTCAGAACACAAGTGGCTCCAGCTGCGGTGTCGCTGGTTTTAACAATACTTCTCTGGATGTGACAGAAACCCGGTTCATTTTCAAAATAGATGACACGGTGTTAGTCGGGGTGTGCGGGGAGGGAGTGAAGGGCATGTTTTTGATCCTAACGCGAGCCGATGTTTAAACAGGCTTTTAATTCTCGACAGTCGCACGCCGGTGGAACATCCCCTTCGCTTTGCTTAACCACTGATCAAATAATGCTAAAAAGCAGCAGGGGAAATTGAATTAGGGGTTCCCGCTGTAGCGGTGGGATTTATTATTATTATTTTTTCAAATTCATCTCTTTTCACGCTCCTTCCCTGCTGTGCTACCCAACGCTACCAGGCCACATCCTTTACATTCCTCTCACCTCGCACTCCTCCCTCAGCCGCCGCCTCCCGACCTCCCTCTTCCTCTTCCTTCTCCTTTCCCCGCTCTCTGCAGAGATCCGTATTCTCCCTTGCCCTCCAAAAGTCAGAGCTGGCCTCTCCCTTGATCCCCTTGATCCCTCATCAGGGAGGCCAAGTGTAATATCTCCAGCACTAAATTAGCATTTTTCTCATTACCACCACCACCTCTCTCCCGCTGCCTTGTCTGGGAACTGCCGGCTTCTCCCCGGTTGGAGTCGGGGCCTTCCCGCTGCCTTGTGGGGCTGTTAGCTGCATAGAGGCATGAGGGGTTCACCTCGTTTTTCCATTTGATCTAATTCATCTTTTTTTGAGTCAAAAGAAAATGGATGCAATAATTCATTAAAATAAACATTGGCCTGATATATATATATATATATATATATATATATATTATTGAGCTGTACGGTTCATCTCCAGAATAAGAAGCCAAATCCATTCCTCAACTGTTTATTGTTCATATATTCTAAAAGGACCACAGTGTAGCCTTAAAGGCACTTTATTTGAGAGTGTGAATATTAATATAGCAGCAAACAAATATTTGCTCATAAAGATATAGTGGAGTAATTGCCACCTGATCTGAGGATGAAGCCGAAGCGAGATGGTAGAGTGCAGTTCGATAAACATGCGTTAGCTCGTGGTAACGAAGGAACATGTCACCCAGTGATGTCTTTTTTTTAAATAGATATATAGCTGTTGTCTTTTTAATGGGATTTGATGCAAAAAGAAAACATTTAAATACAACCAGACTCATCCCTGTTATTCTTGTGCATCCTATGTGCTAAAATGTGTGCTTTTATAGTTTAGATAGTTGCCAGTTGGCATTTACCACAATTCTGGTATTGTATGTTCAAGTAGATTTTTAAAATCTTGTCTTTACCTCGTTTCAATCCGTCCAGTATTTTTTTATGGTTGTTCACAACTGGCCGTTCTCGTACACCATTTATACAAACATGAATGCGCTGTAATATGTATATCCTCCGAAATTAATTCATATATATACCACGTGATCTCAAACAAGGAAGTATAAAGACCAAATAACGCCACATAGGCAGGAGGCTGTGGTGAATGGTTGGGCGGTACACCGGGTTTTCATCCTGGAGGTTGCTGACGTGTCCCATGTGTAACCAGAGGTCAATACGCTGATTTGTCATGTAACTTACGAAGTTATTTTCTCAAACCCAACCAAGTAGATTTGTGTCCTAAACCTAACCAAATTGTGTCCTATGTATTTGTTGTAGAACTTTATTTTTGAAAAGACTCTAGGCATATAATGAGGGAAAATTGACACGTGTTGCTGGACATACATAGAAAAACTCACGAAAAGTGAGGAATAACTTTTAGTAAGATATGATGCAAACCTTTGTATGAGGATACTTCCCCCTTTAAAGTAACACAATACTTTGATGAAGTTCTGTGACCTTTCAGTCTGTTCTTTGTGTTGTTTGGAAATCTAAATGACACAAAGATCAAAAAACATCTTTTGATCCGGCCTAAAAAACTCTCAAACTTGTTGAAGACCCCACATTAAATGCTACAAGCATCAAATCCCTGCTGCTTACAGAGATGTGTTCAATGTAATTGTTATTACTGCTGGGAGGATAATAACCAAAGCTCTACAGTCATCATTGTTGTACTGATTTCTATGGAGTGAAATAACAGTGAAGTGTTTGCTAATTTTCTTGGGAACCCATCAGAAGGTATCGATGGGCCCCAAAAAACCCTCTGAAGGACCCTCGAAGGTCCCAGAGCCCCACTTTGGGAACGTTGGGGTGATGACATCCCAGTCGAACACCACAGAGGTATGATTAGACTTCTAGAAGGTAATTGGCACCAACAGCTGGGTATAATGATGTCTACGACTTCTTTCAGATGCACCATCTGTGATTATAAGATTATAAGTCATTACCATTGTAGCCCTGAACACTGGCAACCAAAATGGGTCGCTGGGACTCCTGGAGAGTATTCCATGGGGTCCACGGCAAAATGAGGATTAGTTGAATTTCACAGTTATTTCACTCCATGCAAGTTGACACAATGTGGAAATGTGTTTCGAATACGCGCTCTAATCTGAGGTTTTACTCGGTCAATAGTAAAGTCTCACAAAAGTTCACAAATGAGACGGTGTTTCAAAGTGAACATCCTTTTCGGTGCCAGCTCCGCAGGGCGCGCGCGTGCAGATTAAATTTGAAATGATTGGAATAGACATGGTCTCGTTACAGTGGTTAAAAGATTGAGTCCACCATTTTCTGCATTTGAAACAAGTTTCTTTCCTTCCTTCACGAACACAAAGACATGCAGCAATAACAAGAAAGAAACAAAAAACATTTAAAATGGCCCGATGTGAAACTGTGCGCGTTTGTATGTTTCCACGCTAGGTTTTCATCTGTATTTTATTATTTTCTTTTTTTTTTCTTTCCCGTTTCAGAACTATCATGAATTGCAACCTGAGGGTGATCCAGGCTCGGGCGTTCGCTCAGAACCCACATCTACGCTACATGTGAGTAAATATTTCTATCTTTGACAGCCATGCTTCCCGTGCCTTAAAAAATAGTTGTAAAGATCTGTAATGCCCGACAGCTTTCGGCATATGGCCGCAGATGAGTTAGTGTTGAGCAGAAGATGATGCAGTCGATAGAGATGCGGCTCTCCGGGGGGGGGGACGGTGGTGCCGTCATTACTGTCGCGAGAGCCGCCGCATCTTAAATGAGACATCCATTCTTTGCCTCGGATAATTGGATTCCTATCTGCCCCTGCTTCTTTGTGCGAGCGGCGGAGCAACATGCCAAAGACGCAGTTCCATTTAGTCTGCACTCGCCAGATGGACAATTTGTCCAGGAGGCCGAGCATCAGAGAGCCACACGAAGAGTGGAGTAATTTCTTTAACAAAGGCTGATGTGTCACCGTATGACAGCCTGTTATTCCCCAATTTTCCAGGAGTAAACACGGTGAGGAACTCACTCACAGTCTTTTACCTGAACACGTTGCCATTTGCAATTTCCAGGCTGGTCTCTCTTTTCTCCTGCGGGTGACTGCTGTTAGGCTTGAATCTCTGCACTTTGCAGGGTGTGTGTGTGTGCGTGTGTGCGTGTGTGTGTGTCTGAGTGTGAGAAAGAGATGTAAATCTGTCATTTGAGAATGCAACACAGAAAGGTCTGGTCTGATCATCAAACTCACTGTCGTACGCTGATTTCAGGGAATCGGAGAGCATGCGTGTACGTCCCTTTGTTGTGCACGGATGTAGACTTCGTTAAAGAGAAGTTTCATGTCTCTTGGGTGATTGGTGGAGCTGACCGAGCTCATCAACATTTAATGAAAGTTATTTAACCCCCCCGCCCCCTTCCGTTCTCTTTAATTGTCTCTCCAGAAGACGGATTCACTAACACGAGACTGAAAACAAATACATGTTTTATTACTTTATGCTTAGTTTTTCCTCTTTGAAGGTCTCATACCATGTGAAATTCTCTTCAAATTCAGGCTAAAAAAAAGAGATGAATGCTGTTTTACAAATAGAAAAGATCAATCAAGTGAGTTCACTACATCTTCACTCCCACATGGAGGCATTTGCACGGTAGCCAGCGAGCGCCGCGTCCTAGACGGGCCGCCACTGTCTCCCTATTGTGGTCTCATTAATGCAGATGGACCGTTGCTAGGTGACACCGAGGATGATGATGTCAAAAAAGATTAATTATTATGCCTTAGCTTAGCCTCAGAAGGGCGACCTCATTGATGTCTGTCACACGGGTCTGCTCGAAGCCCCGGCCATCAAATGCTCAACTGGTTGCTCCTTTTTTTTACGAGGAGAATTGAAGTCATTCTCTTCATCACATGAAGACACAGTAAGCCTTGTGACTGTAATCAACACCCACCCCAGTTATACTCTCTTTTCAATTATCCTCCTACTGTGTTTCAGTGCTTGCATCATGCATTGCACACATGTACATTCGTATGGATCACTTGGCAATTGTACAGCAATTGTCCAATTATGGGTTAGCAACTGTAATAGGCACAACAGGTCTGTCGTGTTGAAGCGCCGTGCATGGGTCCGTGATCATATTTAATGTTATAAACCAGCTTCCAGACCAATAAAGCTAATATCAGCTGGTTCAGTGATAGTTTGTGGCGACTACAAATAATGCAACCCAATCTAAAATAGTCATGAAATTGAAATCCACTGCTTTGTCAACATGCACAAAAACAATGCCAATAGAAAGTCAACTATAGGATCCTTTTTCATGGTGGACACACAAGTTAAACGCATCCCCGTGACTATGCAACGTTCAGAGCAGGAGGCAACATCCGTTTCTGGAGAGTGAAGCCAATGCAGAAGTGTCTTAATCTTGCATTCTTTCAAATGGCCAGCAGGGCGACTCCCCTGGTTGCAAAAATAAGTCAGATTGTATAGAACTCTATGAGAAAATGACCCTATTTCTCACTTGATTTATGACCTCAGTAAACATGGTGAGCATGAGTTTATGGTCTCAATCTCTGGTTTCAAGTCTTCTTTAACATGATGTTCATTTAGAAAATGATGTTCCATTTAGAGTAAAATACCACAAAGCAGGGTATGCTTTAGGGCGTGGCTACCTTGTGATTGACACTCCTCCACAGTCAAAATATGGTCACTTCTGTTCACTGGTCGCAAAACGTCAGTCAAGATGGCGTCAGCCATAATTCAATGGGTGCTGTCACTACGAATACGTTCACGTCTTATATACAGTTTACGGTTCAGAGCTAGTGATTTAGTATCAAATATTGACAAAGACCACTTATGGTGGGCATGCGAGGAGGTGGATGGGTCAAACAATGGAGTTTTCATAAATCAATAGACTGATGAGTTTCAACAGCAGCTCTCTCTTGCATATTTTAACCATTGCAACATCAAGCTAATGCGACATCTGCAGTGGATGTGACGGTGTTAGGTCACATGAATAAATGTAGACGTGTGTTCCCAACATTACACCCAAAAACCAAGTAGAGTTTTTACATTAACTATTCAGTGACAATTGTAAGAAAGAGAATGCAGTGTAAAACACACCACTGACAAATAAACAAGCAAAAGTACAGTACAGCTGACAAGCTCTGCCAGCCCTGACATTCTGACTAAAACATCTGCCTTGTTCATTAAAAGGTATCTATATTTAATTTAAACAAATGTTGTAGCCTTGTTTGTTTTCCAAATGGCTCTTGTCAAAGCGTCAGTGCTGTAATTATGAGGTGACCTCTTCTGGCCCGCTTTATTTAAATTGAGCCCAAAATGAAGCTAATTACAGCATACCACATATCCTGGGAGAGTACTTTATTGTGATCAGCGGGATGTTGTTGCATATATTGAATCCATGCAGCAGCCAATATGTTCAAATACCCGATACCCTGCTGATGTTTCCTTGAGTAAGACACAGAGCCTCTAATTTTCTGCTACGACGGCTCAAAAGAAAGTCTCGGCTGAATGACATGAAGGTAAATATGCATTGTGCTAGGCAACGCAAAGCTCCAGACTTTGGTTAACTCCTCAGCATTAAAGCTGTGTAATGTACACTCATGACACAAATATTTGAGCAGCACTCTGAATTAATGTGAATCTGAATTAATGTGCTTGCAAGATGCAAACAGGAAATCAACAAATGTATTTACTCCTAGCTGATGCTTTTTCTGGTGAATGATGTACCATTAGTGTTTCAAGATGATATGACAAGACAACACTCGGAGAGCTCCAGACATAAATGCACGATTTATGGATTATGTTTGAGATATTTATTATCTAGATGTTTTTTTTTCCCTTAGAAAGTAATTATCCACTTCATGAAAAAAAAGCCTTCAACTAATTACTCTGCCGATAAGGTTAGAAAAAGTTGGCTGAAACTTTACCGTCGTGGGAACAGCAGAGTTTACAGCAAGCGGAAATATCACCTGATAAGTTTTTTCCTTAAATATATAATACAGCAATGTCAGCTCTTGATAGGTCTTGGCGATTTATGAGCTGTCAGCTCTTTCCTGCTCTGAAATATCATTATTATATTGGCCTTTACAAATCATTTTTTCAGTCGACCACTAGTTGAAATATTAACGTAACGGAGTAACTACTGTACGTGAATGACTAATGCCCTTAGAGTACTAACGTTAAACTCCTTATAGCACGTAACTTTTAATAAGTGTTGCTTGATAAAATACTTTTTTTATAATACATTTCCTTTTAGCTATGGTCAGTCAGACATAGAAACTAAGATTTCCTACCTTGACTGTGACCATCTCAGTGTCTCACTCTCACCTCATAAAGGGAAACAGAAGAATCATAATCTATCCCATAGGCTCATCTCCACATCACATTACAGTCATTTAGCAGACGCTTTCATTCAAAGCGACTTACAATAAGTGTATTCAACATAGGTATTCAAGAGCATAGACCAGAGCAATATTTAACAGTTGGAAATGTAAGAACATTTCTTCTTTCTCTTTCTTGGGGATAGATGGATAAGAAGATCCTCACCACTCTCATGTGTGTAGGCCAAGTATGAAGCCACAGCCAGCCGGTTAGTGTAGCTTAGCATTATTAAAACTTTGGGTCTTGTCTGTCTAATCAGTACACGTGTTAAAATGGCACATTGTGGTGTTATTGCCAGGAATATGCCCCAAAACTAAATCCAGATATTTTAAAGAGGAAAAAACAAGATTATTTATATGAGTCAATGACGAATATTTATTTTTTGATGACATATGGCATTTTGTTGGCAAGTGGTGATAGTGTTAACAGTTGGTACATTCCATTCACACCAAGCGGTCTTATTCTCATCATAAAGTGGAAAGACATATGATAAAATGGTTTAAATAAGTATTGATATTTTAATACAGTTTTTTCCTTAAGTTAATATTTAAGTCATAAATAGTCATGTGACTATTCTCTAATTGCTCGGAATTTACTGTGGTACTTTTTTTCCCCGTGAGGGCTGTGTCAGAGTTGAGAAATATCTGCTGTTGCAGCTTCTTCTAACATTAAATAAATCGTCTAATCTTGTCTCCATAGGGTGAGGAAAATGTGTTCGCTTACTTAACCCATAGGTGCAAATGAGTCGATTTATTAATGTTAAAGCGGAAACTTATCTCTAGTCCAGCAACTTTAAAATATTCCTGCAGGTTATCTGTCTTAAAAATAGGCAACTCATCAAGTAAACGTATTACCGTGGCGCCAGTGACTCAGCAGCAAATCCTCCCACACTATTATTGTTGTGGCTGGGGAAACTGATGAAACCGCCTCAAACCTCCTAAGTACCATAAAGTCGACAGTAAAGGAACAATCGGTAATATTTTGCACCGTCTTTGCAGAAAATGACCAAACTCAGCGCCAGTAAGTCCACAGTTGATGTCAAGCTGTCTCGGCTGTACTCACATATTTCATTTCATGTGTGTCCAGCCTCTGCTCCCTGGACTACCCCCGAATGTGTGCCACCAAACTTTGCTCAGTTTTATTTGCCCGTTTGTGGAAGGACACTCTGCAACCACACG